CGAAATTCTTTCCAAGTTAGATCTTGGGGCGTTACAATACAAATGAGCCTCAATCCTCTGCTTTCTTTACTCCGAACACTTCTCCATCTTCACCCAATTGGTATTTGGATAGTGGTGCATCGTCCCATCTCACCTCTGATTCTACAATCTTCAATCTTCTCAAGATTATACCGATCCTAATCAGGTAATACTTGGCAACGGTCACCAACTTCCTATCCAACATACGGGCAAAGGCATTCTCCCTGCACCATCATCAGGTAGCCTATATCTTTCTAAACTTAATCATGCTCCAAATGTTTCATTCAACCTTATTTCTATTCATCAACTCACACTTGATAACAACTGTGATGTTTTATTTTCTTCTACTGGATATGTGATTAAGGACCGAACGACTCGACGTGTTCTTCTTCAGAGACCATGCATGAATGGTCTTTATCCGCTCCGCCCATCTTCAGACACTTCTTCAACCATGCCACCACTAGCTCTCATTTAAATTCAAGCTGTATCGGACTTATGGCATCGTCGACTTGGCCATCCGTTGTCCACTATCTTATCTTATTTAGCTAAAACTATTTCTGTTATAAAAACTTCTGTAACATCTAGCTTCTTTAATGCTTGTCGTCTTGCAAAGAGTCATAGCCTCCTTTTCCTATGTCATTGTCACTATGTAATACGAAATTTTCTTTAATACACTCTGACGTTTGGGGTCCGTCTCCCACTTGTTCAAACAATGGTTTTCGGTATTACATTTCTTTTATTGATGATTACAACAAATTTGTTTGGGTATATCCTCTTCTTCGAAAATCAAATGCTATTCACAAATTTATTACATTCAAAACCATGGTCAAAAGACAATTTAATACCCAAATTAAAATAATTTGTACAGATGGGGGTGGTGAGTTCCTTAATAACTCATTTAAGTTATTTCTTACTCACTGTGGTATACTTCATCAATTCACTTGTCTGTATACCCCTCCTCAGAATGGTGTAGCTGAACGTAAACATCGTCATATTCTTAAAATGCTACGCTCTCTTCTTATTGAAGCTCATCTTCCACAATATCTCTGGGTCGAAACCTTATTCACCTCTGTGTATCTTATTAATCGTATTCCATCTCCTAACACAAAATATTTCTCCATATGAACTTCTTCACGGTCTCAAACCAGCATACGATCATCTCAAAGTGTTCGGATGCTTATGTTATCCCTGGCTTTGTCCTTATTGTCCTAACAAACTTTCTCCCTTGTCTTCTCCCTGTGTTTTTATTGGTTATGCCTCAGCCCAAAAAGGCTATCGTTGCCTTGATCCTGCCACTAATAAGGTATATACCTCTCGGAATGTCATTTTCAATGAATCTATATATCCCTATTCTTCTACATCCAATATACAAACTCATTCCGTGGTGTCTCCAGATCTACCGCCACTACTGCTTGCTCTAGCATCAGTCCTACCATCATTTATTTGTAAGCCTAAAGCATCCTCATCTCCTACTTCTTCTACCCCATTACTCGTACCACTTCCAACAATTCCCTCATGTTCAGCAGAAGTTCCTCCCATTACTCAACAAACTATACCACATCTATCATCCTCTCATTCTATGATCACAAGGCTTAAAAGTGGTATCTCCAAACCAAAGCTATTTTCAATCTGGCTCACATTCTTCATCCAGCAGATCCTACCACATATCTACAGGCAATGAAACATGCTCACTGGTGCAAGGCAATGTCGCAAGTGTTCCAGGCGCTTCAATCCCAAGGCACTTAGGAGCTGGTTCCGTCCTCACCAGAGCAGAACATTCTTGGATGTCGTTGGATTTAGTGGACCAAGATAAACTCGGACGGCTCTGTTGCTCGGCATAAAGTACACTTGGTTGCTCAAGATTTCAATCAAGAATATGGGCTTAATTATCCTGAAACCTTTAGTCCGGTCGCCAAAATTGCCACTGTTCGCGTCTTCATTCTTATTGCTCTTAATCATCATTGGCCTATTATTCAATTGGACGTTTCTAATGCATTGTTGCATGGGCATTTACTGGAAATAGTATTCATGCAGCAACCTCCAGGTTTTTCTGATCAATTTCATCCGACTCATGTCTGTAAATTAAAAAAGGCGATACTGGTGCAAGGCAATGTCGCAAGAGTTCCAGGCGCTTCAATCCCAAGGCACTTAGGAGCTGGTTCCGTCCTCACCAGAGCAGAACATTCTTGGATGTCGTTGGATTTAGTGGACCAAGATAAACTCGGACGGCTCTGTTGCTCGGCATAAAGTACACTTGGTTGCTCAAGATTTCAATCAAGAATATGGGCTTAATTATCCTGAAACCTTTAGTCCGGTCGCCAAAATTGCCACTGTTCGCGTCTTCATTCTTATTGCTCTTAATCATCATTGGCCTATTATTCAATTGGATGTTTCCAATGCGTTGTTGCATGGGCATTTACTGGAAATAGTATTCATGCAGCAACCGCCAGGTTTTTTGATCAATTTCATCCGACTCATGTCTTTAAATTAAAAAAGGCGATGTATGGTTTGAAGCAGTCGTCGCGGCAGTGGTATGCCACACTGTCGACACATCTGCAGGACTTTGGTTTCAAGTTGAGTAATGCAGATCCGTCTCTTTTTACATATAACCTGGGTTTAGTAGTTATGTATATTCTCATTTACGTTGATGATATTTTGCTTACCGGAAATGATCAGTTAATTATTCAACGTCTTCTTCAGAGCTTACATTCCAAATTTTCTATGCGCAATCTTGGACAACTGTCACAATTTCTTGGAATTCAAGTTAACGCCACTTCCTTTGGTGTCCTGCTAACTCAAACGCAATATGCCCAACAAATCTTAGCCAAACCAGGCATGCGGAATTCCAAGCCGGTTGCCACGCCATCTCTTGTCAAGAAGTTTGTTGTTGCTCTTGACACCTCTGATTATTCCAATCCACAGCTGTATCGATAACTTGCCGGTTCTCTCCAATATTTGATGCTTACTCAACCATACATCACCTTCTCCGTTTGTCAAGTTTTTCAGCATATGCACAAGCCCCTCCAGTGTCACTTTGACAGTCTCAAACGTCTATTACGGTACATTCATGAAACCTTATATCATGGGTTTCCACTTCACCGAGATGAACTTACTCTTCAAAGCTATACTGATTCGGACTGGGCCGGTGACGTTCATGATCGCAAATCCACTTTGGGCTATTGTAATTTCGTGGGTAAATCATTGATTTCTTGGCAAATTAAGAAACAAGCAACAGTAGCTCGTTCGTCAACGGAGGCAGAATATAGAGCATTGGCAACAGCTGCTTCTAAGGTAATATGGTTACGTCGTCTACTTGATTATTTTAATC